ATACACCCAGCAGCGCTGCTGATGCCTGAACGGTATGTGGAATGAAGTGGGCGGGCATCGGGAGGCCACTATGGCACGGGGCAAGCACTATGGGCAGTCTATCTGAAGTGTATCTGGCGTATAAGACGACCCCCCACTTGGAGGCATATTTTTCAGGGCCAAAAAATCGTCTTATACGCCGGCAAATACGGTAGATAATCTCCAAGGGCTCTTCCAAATGTGAGATTTTATAACTCCAGGAAATATTCCCTGCAGTTACACAAATGAATAATTATAATGGAAATACTGACAGTTGCTAACAATAAGTGTTTTACCCAGTGCTTGACATTATACAATCCTAAAATTGAAGAATAAGGACTTTAGAGGTGGAATCTCATTTGATCTTAACAATCCTATGATGCTGTTACTGACATTATTTTACAAATAGGGAAATGGGACCAGAGAGGATAAACTCACACTGCCAGGAAACAGCAGAGCCAATATTTAGACCAGAAAGCTGAACTCCACCAAGCTGCACACAAAGCTTACAATGTGAGCCTTGCACACAGAACACTGCAGCTTAGTCAACACTACGCATTGAGAAATTACCCAGTTAGGAAATTTCGCCTTCAGATCTTTAATGCACATTTAATGAATTCCAGAAAGACTACATTTTTAAAATGAAAGAATACAAATTTAGAAGAAAATTTAGGGAAAGTCTAAGACAGCTGTTCTCAACCTGTAGGTCGCGACCCCTTTGGGGGCGGAATGACCCTTTCACAGGGGTCGCCTAAATACATCCTGCATATCAGATATTTACATTACGATTCATAACAGTCGCAAAATTACAGTTATGAAGTAGCAACGAAAATAATTTTATGGTTGGGGGTCACCATAACATGAGGAACTGTATTAAAGGGTCACGGCATTAGGAAGATTGAGAACCACTGCTAAGATGAAACGAATACCCAAAATTACATTTTAGAAGAGCTACAGATATGATTGCACAAAATTAAGCTCTATCATTAGGAATCATTTAAAAGTTAAAAATAAACAGTAAAACCTGGAAATTATTAATATTCTCTACATATGCAAAATGGGCAAAGGACTTCAAATCAACAACTTATAAAAACAAAATTCAAAAGGTTAAGAAACATGATTTTCCTATTTGTAAAATGGAATCGCATCTTCCTTTGAAAGGCTACCATAAAAATAAAATGGGCACAAGTGAAAATATTTCTTGGGGAGTTATATGAAAAGAAAAGAAAGCACGAGTTTAATCTTGGTGTCAAAAAGAGCAAATATCATATTTAATGTGCAAGACTGGATTCATATTATGGATCCACCTCTAATCATCACATGTCATAGGCAATTTACTTAACCTTACCTTTCTGTTGGACTGCAAATCAAATACAGTAATATTAAGAACAAAATTGAAGCCACACTTCATTTCTCTGCTATAAATTGTCCTGAGGGGTTTAATTAGCCTTAAACTCCCTCAGTTGTTTTTAACAGTTTTACAAGTTACTGCTTTAGCCTATGCAGACTAAACATCTAACGGATCTTTAATTTGGTATGACATGTGTCCACTGGTTTTTGCCCACAAGGACAGTAAATCCAAAGCACTATGACACTATTCCCCACCACTGCTCACAGAAGTCACTGCACTACCCCTGACACCAAGACAGCCTGCACCTCTGCAAAACCTCCTGGCCACCCCACCTCTCTGAGACCAAGCCAAGCCCTGCTTGCAGCCCTCAGGTGGTTCTGCCATTGGATCAGTCTAAGCCAGCGGTTCTCAACCTGTGGGTCGCAACCCCTTTGGCGGTCGAATGACCCTTTCACAGGGGTAGCCTAAGACCATCCTGCATATCAGATATTTACATTACGATTCAGAATAGTAGCAACATTACAGTTATGAAATAGCAACGAAAATAATTTTATGGTTGGGTTACAACATGAGGAACTGTATTTAAAGGGCCAGAAGGTTGAGAACCACTGGCTAAGCCAAAGTTAAAACGGCAGAAGTCAATTGCCTTTAACCTTGCCTCTTACTAGAATAAACTTCCATCCCTGAAATACTACTTCACCCCCAACGCCAGTCTCCTGTTCCCTACTCCTCTCATTTCCTCTGTCCTTATTTCCTTCCTCAGCCTAGGGACTTTCTTCTTTCCTGACCTTTTATGTTGTTCCTTCTAAAAAACACTTTCTGTTCAAAACTATCTCTTCAACATTTTGCAACCTTTCTAGCTCCCTGCTGCCACTTAAACAACCACACTCTCACTTGCAGGTAAAAACTCATTCACAATCAAAAAAAGCTCTTAAGATCTAGCCATACGACCTTCTCCCTCTTATCTCTGCAGTCATCTGCCAACCTCCCCTTACTCACCCACATATGGCCTGACTCCTGATTTCTCTGTCCAGCCTGCCTCCTGCTTTCTCTGTCCAGCCTGCCTCCTGCTTTCTCTGTCCAGCCTGCCTCCTGCTTTCTCTGTCTGGCCTGCCTCCTGCTTTCTCTGTCCAGCCTGACTCCTGCTTTCTCTGTCCAGCCTGCCTCCTGCTTTCTCTGTCCAGCCTGCCTCCTGACTCCTGCTTTCTCTGTCCAGCCTGACTCCTGCTTTCTCTGTCCAGCCTGCCTCCTGATTTCTCTGTCCAGCCTGACTCCTGACTCCTGCTTTCTCTGCCCAGCTGGACTCCTGCACCAACCTTGCTGCTTTGTTTACACAGCTTCCTTACTTGCACGTGAACCCCTTAAAAATCAAAAGCTTTCCTTTCTCTCACTCTCCACCCCAGGTCACAGATAAGTAACAACCCACCTCAGAAGGCCCATTAGGAAAAGTACTGAGCCCTGGCTGATGTTGCTCAGTGGTTAGAGCAGCGGCCTGCACACTGAAGGGTCTTGGGTTTGATTCCCGGTCAAAACCATGTACCTGAGTTACAAGTTTGATCCCTGGCCCAGGTCAAGATGCATGCAGGAGGCAACCAATTGATGTGTCTCTCTCACATTGATGTTTCTCTCTCTCTCCCTCCCCCCCGCTCCATCCTATTCCCTTCCTTCTAGTCTCTCTAAAAAGCAATGGAAAAATCCTCAGGTGAGAATTAACAAAAGAAACAAACAAAAAAAGATAAGAACTGAAAGGCTCTGGCATGGTAGCTCAGTTGGTTGGAACAGTTGTCCCTTATAACAAAAGGTTGCAGTGGAGATAAGCATCAATCTTCCTTCCTTCCTTCCTTCCTTCCTTCCTTCCTTCCTTCCTTCCTCCCTCCCTCCCTCCCTCCCTCCCTCCTTCCCTTCCTTTCTTCCTTTTTTTTTTCCCGACTACTAGATAGCTTTGGAAATTAGCTTTTGCTGCAGATTTGAAAATGTTTCTTAATGAATTCAACTTACAATTACAAGACAGAACCATGCTTATATGTGGAACTTATACTATAATAAGTCATTTAGTCAACTAATGTTATTTCCTGAATCATTAGTAATGCCAAGTTATTCTATTCATTTCTTGTGTTGTCAAATGTTAAAACAAGATCTGCATCCTACAGGTATTTGGAATAGGTACATTTTCCAAAA